GGAGGAAGCCGGTTTGAAGCTTAGCCGTAAGAAATCACAGATAGCCCAGAGGTCGATCGTGTGCTTGGGTCACATCGTGGGGAACGGTGAAATCCAGCCGCTGCCAGAGAAACGGGAAACGATCCAGAATTTTCCAGCCCCTAAATCCAAACGCCAGCTTCGTTCCTTCCTGGGAGTTGCGGCAAATGATTCAAAATTCGTCCCTCACTTTGCAGAGACCATCAGTCCATTATTGACGTTGCTGCAGAAGGATCAACCATTCATGTGGTCAACCGAGGCAGAGGGAGCATTCAATCACATCAAAACATGCGTGGCGGAATCTCCAAAGTGCTTGCGGTTACCCAATCCGAGTGAAAAATTTACGGTGGCAGTTGATGCTAGCGACGTCGCAATCGGTGCGGTACTTTCCCAGCCATCGGGGGTCGTAGAATATGCCAGTCGCGTGCTGCCGAGTGCCGAACAGAAGTACTCAACAACAGAGAAGGAATGTCTAGCTATGGTATGGGCCCTGGAGAAGTGGAGGACATACCTGTTGGCGAATGAATTCCACGTCTTGACGGACCACAAACCGCTCTCATGGTTGATGGCAACGAAGGATCCGAGAGGACGTCTTGCACGATGGGCATATCGACTTCAAGAATTTACCTTCACCATCGGACACGTGGATAGGACGAAGAATGTGCTACCGGATATGCTGTCGCGACCGTTGTTGGACGACGTCATACCTGACACTGCGATACCGGTGGGTGCAGTCACAGTTGGGAGGGACACGCTACTCGAAATTCAAAGGAAGGATGAACTGGTGCAGTCGCTGTGTAGCCATTTACAATTGGGTACCAAACCGAATGCCACATCGGGGGAAATGGAGGATCTCGTCAGGATCTGGGACAGGCTGTGCACAGTAAACGGTAATTTGCTGGTGCAGACAAACGGAATGAGACTTCCTTTTATCCCACAAAGTCAGCGGGAGCGGGTGATTCAAATATTCCATGACAGCGCACACATGGGATTTGAGAGAGTTTTTGACTTGCTGCGGAGACGAGTTTTCTGGCCAACCATGAGGAGGGACGTTGCGGTATATATCCGGGGGTGCCCAAACTGTCAAACAAGCCGTGAGATGGATGCACCCAGACCGCCAATGAAGTCGATTGAAATCAGCGAGGCACTACACTGCTGGGGACTAGATATATTTGGACCGCTGCCGCTGAGCCGATCGGGTAACGCCTACATCCTGATGATGATTGATCATTACACTCGTTGGGTCGAAGCGATACCAATAAAAGATCAAACAGGCGAGACCGTGGCACAGGCGTTCGAATTCAACGTACCGGCGAGGTATGGAATACCGCACAGCGTTATCACCGACCAAGATCCGTGCTTTGAATCAAAAGCGTTCCAGGCCATGCTGGCCAAATGGGGCATCCGGAGAAAACGCACTTCGCCTTACCACCCGCAGACCAACGGGATGACAGAACGGTTTAACCGAACTATGAAAACATGGATGAACTGCACAAAGGTACCGTGGGAGGAAGCGTTACCGGAGGTGCTGCTGGCTTATCGAACCAGCATGCAATCAAGCACCAAGGTTTCACCGTTTGAATTGCAATTCGGCAGAGAACCAAGGATTGCCATCCGCACCTATTTGGCAATCGACAGCGAGCGCGAACATCCAGCCCTACCACACCGAAGGCTGACAACAACAGCTAGAAGGGAGACGAGGACTCGGCAATTACGCAACAAGCGGAACTATGATGCCAGATATGCGGCAGACAAATGGAGACCATTCAACCCAGGAGACCAAGTCAAGCTACGCAATAATGATCCACCGTCACACAAAGGACCCGGCGCGAGCAAGTTCAACCAACGCTGGAAAGGTCCCTATACAGTGATCGACCAAAAAGCGACGAGCTGCCGTGTCGACAACGGGGTGGTGAAACGCTGGGTAAACGCATCACTTCTACGCCCATGGTATACGAGGGAAACAGGTTTTCGAGAGGGGGCGGGTGTAGGGGCGCGGATCTCAGTTCACACGGAAATGCCCCGGAAGCAGCAGGAAATCGGGACTAACGCGGAGACTGGGAACGGGAATCGTCAACCCAGCTCGTGGCCTACGATGCAAACCGGGAATGGGTCGTCAGCGACAAACGATACCGCGGCCACGCCGGAAAGAACAAGAGGCGACATGAAAGGGAGCCCGATTTTCCCAAGAGATATGCCGGTATCTACGGCCCCAGAAATCGGCCCGACCAGAGCAACACAGCCGCGAGCAAGCAAGTCGAGAGCTTTGGTACGAATCCAGTCTGGATAGGCTGCGACGCAAGGGAGCAGAAATGTGGGCGGAAAACGGGACATTCAATGTCCATGTCGGATCAGCTAAATGGCGCTTAGTGGACACCACTTCACGCGGCGGAACGTGGTGCGTCGTAAGTGGGAAACGCGGCTATATTTGTGTGTGTGCGTGGGACATGTGTGAAAACCTCTCGGCGTGCAATAAACAGCGTTTTCCCCTGCCGTGTCGTTCTCGCTACAATAGTACAATTGGCATGATGCCACAACGTAGGGAAAATAAGATAAACATTTGAAGATAGAGGGAAAAAACCGGTGTTCATAAGAATGGTGAGTCACGACAACTCCGCCATTGTGCACGCTTTCTTCCCATATCCGAGAGCCTTTCCGGCCATGTGTGTTCCGGATGCCTCACACTCCAGCCATGGAGCCGAGAGCGCCCGACCAAGGCTAACTTTGACGTTATCTCCTTCATGCTTCTGGCCCAGTTCATACGTTTGTCACGTTGCTTTCGATTTCAGCTGCCTTGTGTGTGCACGAAGAGGGCACCGCAAGGTAAACGATGAGTAGGCATGCGGCGAAAGTGCCCAAACCACTGAAATCAGCGCAGAGGAATTGTACTGCTCAGCCGGCAAAGTCTGTCTGATCTGAAAAGCCTCTGTCTAATATCTTCAGTCCTAATGTGATGTTGCAACGCCCCGAAGGCAGCGGTGATCAAAAACAGACAGCGTCTCAACATCCTTTGTGCGAATAGGCCAAGTCGCGCAGCCGTAGAGGAGAACCGCTCTCAATGTAGTCTTGCAAACTCGGCCGTTCAGAGTTAAACTCAGATCATCTCGATGCCAGAGATGGCGGAGATTGGCCAAAACAATACTAGCCTTGGAGACACGCAAATAGACCTCATCCGTTGAACCACTAGCGTTGAGGCAGTTTCTGTGGAGAACGAGCTTCTCCACCACTTCCAATGAATGAGATAGAAGGGTAAGATTAGGAACAGCACCTAGCCTGTCCTGTAGGAAAAGCTTGCATTTCAGTGGTGCGAAGGTCATTCCAAACTGGTAGACAGACATCTCTATACTACACTGGACATTTCGGGCTGCCTGTGAGGAAACAAGCGCTGATTGTAATGTGGGCGAGCCCCAGTTAGCATCGAGCCAGCTGATAACGGTGTCACGCGAGTGAAAATGCGATCAGCCTGTCAAGCTGACATGTGGCGCTTACAAATGTTTCCAAATGGCTACCGCTTAGTCATTCAGCATGACATGAAGCACCGACATCTGCGAGTAGAGCTATCAGTTTGTGGTCAATTAAAGGTAGATACTACTGCGCCGGGTATAAGTAGTGTGGTGGTGCAAGATGACACACCAACAGCGAGCCCTGCCGACTTCCCCAAAGTTGAAGATGACATCAGGATTACAGTTCCATGCGCACGAGGAGTGAACACAGAGGCAAGCACCAGTTGGGGAACACTCCATGGAGATCACGCAGATGAGCGGACGCCTCCAAGGTATGAACGAACACACCTAGTGTAAGCCACTTTAGCAATAAACAGATTACCGCCTGCCCCTTGGGTTCTAACATTTGGTGCCGTGACCTCGCAAGTCATGAAGATTCCCTGGCCGGAACCATTTGAAGACGGGGATGTGAAGGCGTTTTTGGAGGATTTCGAGGAGGTGGCAGAGGCGGTAGGACTGAAGACGGACCGGGCGAAGATGGCGGCCCTGCGGAGTCTCCTCAAGGGCAGGGCGAAGGCGGTTCTGGAGACGGCGCGAAGAGGTCCGGTCAAGTTGGAGTGGACCACCGCGAAGGAAGCGTTGCTCTCTGGCCTGGACACGCCAGCGGACCGCCAGGAGGCGATGCGACGGTTCAAGGCGTCGCGGCTTGGTGCTGGGACGGATCCCCTCGTGTTTGCGGTGCACCTCAGGAGCTTGTTGGACCGCGCCTTGCCGGGGTTGGATGGGCCGTCAAAGACGCAGTTGCTGGTGGATCAGTTTTTGGCCGGCCTCCCACAGCCAACCGCGGAGCGCGTTCGGATTGCGAATGCTACTCGGAAGATGCAATTGGAGGAGTTGGCGCAAGTTACTCGAGACCTGGGCGACGCACCACTAGCTGCGCTGAAGGAAGAGCCTCATGAGAATGTGGAACGGATGGACAAATTGGAACGGATGATGGAACAGCTTACGGAAGACATCAATGGGCTTCGCGTTCAGCGTTATCGGGTGCGCACAAAGGGATGTTGCTTCATCTGCGGGAAACCGGGGCACTGGAAGAGACAATGTCCGCAGAGGCGTGGTGTTACTCGTGTGTCGAATAAACGTGTGCAACCTTATTTTTCTTTTCGGATCGAGGATTGTGTACTTGGGGCGTTGAGCAGGAGTGCGGTTGAAGCAATGGTGGAAGTAGACGGAACGATGGAAAGGTGTCTGATCGATACGGGTGCCGCGGTGTCACTAATCAACCATCGGCGAGGTGAAAAGCTTCAGTCGTGCTGCACGATCGTAAGAGCGGTTGGCGGTCATTCAGTGGGAATTGATGGGATAGCCGAACACACCGTGGGAATCGGGGGACGAAAGCGAACACACTTCTTTCTCGTGTCACCAGATGCGAAACAAACCATATTGGGAGCAGATTTCCTGGAGCTCAATAAAGCTGTCATTGATCTAAAGCGTGGGAAGTTGCTAATGGAATGCGGGTCACTACCACTCATTAATCGTGGAGAAATGAGATCTTCGCAGTCGGTCGTTGCTGTGTTACATTTGAGCCCATCTTTGCAGTCGCTGATCAACAAATACCAACCCTTGTTTACGGATGACAGCAGCCAATATGGGTTTTGCGATTGGATCGAGCACACCATCCCGCTAACTCGCCAACCGTATCGGCCCCATGGACCTCGAAGGATACCAATCCATCTGGAGGCTGAGGTGAACAGGCAAGTGCAGGAAATGCTGGACGCGGGCGTGATTGAGGAGGCACATAGCCCGTACAACTCTCCTGTGGTCTTAGTGAAGAAGACGAATGGGAAGTACCGATTCTGTGTCGACTTCCGAAGACTGAATGAAATTTCCTTGACTCGCTTCGTTCCAGTTCCATCAGTTGCTGACATTTTTGATCGGCTGCAGCAGTCGAGGATATTCACGGTCCTGGACTTGAGATCAGGATACTGGCAACTGGCAATAAAACAGGAAGATCGAGAGAAGACGGCGTTTACCGTTGGTGAGAAACAGTACCAGTTTAAGAGGATGCCCTTTGGATTATCAGGAGCCCCGTTTACCTTCCGACGTCTAATGCTGCGATTGCTGAGTGAATTGGAAAACGTGGTTGTGTACGGGGATGATATCGTGGTGTATAGCCAATCAGAAGCGGAACATATCCATCATCTCGCGGCAGTTCTGGAACGCATTCAGCAGTCGGGACTTCGTATAAATGGACCAAAGTCCCAGATCGGAAAGACCTGTGTCACCTTACTGGGCCATAAAGTGGGACAAGGCGAACTGAAACCGCTACCTGAGAAGATAATGACGATACAAGGCAGCCCAGTTCCCACCTCGAAACGCACTCTCCGTACATTCCTGGGCCGCGCCGGGTACTACAGCAAATTCGTCAAGGATTTTAACACCTTGGCCTCACCCTTGTACGAGCTGTTGAAACAAGACAGGAAATTCACTTGGAATGCAGAAGCTCAACGAGCCTTTGATCAGATTCTACAGGAAATGGGAAGGCAGGAGTTGACCCTGAAATTGCCCATTGCTGGTGAGGTGTTCACGGTAGCCACTGACGCCAGCGATGTCGGGATCGGTGCGGTGTTGAAACAAAACCATGGGACGATTGAGTATGCCTGCCGAACTTTGACACCTGCGGAACGCAGATACTCAACCATAGAGAAAGAATGTCTCGCAATTGTCTGGGCGTTAGATAAATGGCGGCCATATCTCCTGGGTCAGCGATTTCACGTCGAAACAGACCACAGACCGTTGGAGTGGATTAAGTCTGCCAAAGACCCCAGAGGAAAGCTGGCGAGATGGGCATTGCGCCTACAAGAGTATGATTTCACGATAAAACACGTGCCGGGGAGGGAAAATCAGACGGCGGATTTCTTGTCACGCATGATAGATGATGATGACCTGCCGAGCGTAGCTTTCGGTATTAACGGTATACTGTGCGAGCAGGATCCAGAACGGTTGGCAACTGAGCAACGTAGTGACAAACTCCTGCGCAAGTTGATCACCGCGCGATTAGCTGGTCAGACAAACTTCAACAAAAACCAACTTAAGCAGCTGGGACCGTTTGCAAAAGACCTGGGAAAGCTGCAAGTGAACGAAGCAGGGATCTTAATGTGGATACCAGGAGGTAGCAACCCTTCGGTGCCAGTCATTCCAATGAAACGAAGACGGAATCTGGTAGTTTCTTGTCACGAGATGGCGCACACAGGTTGTTCCAGGACCTACGATCTGCTGAAACAACGCGCGTATTGGCCGGGGATGAAAAGGGACGTTGAGAAGTGCGTGCTTTCGTGCAGACAATGTCAGCTCATGAAAACGGATTGCCGAGGAATGCAGCAGCAAACGATGACGATCCCGGTCTCGGAAATTGGTGAACTTTGGTCGGTCGACGTGATGGGGCCGTTTCCATTGACCAGGCGTGGCAACCAGTACATTTTATTGATGACGGAGCACTTCACGCGATGGATTGAGGCGACAGGAATCCCGGATCAACGGGCTAGCACCGTTACCCATGCTGTCATGAATCACTTGGTAGCGGCTCACGGAATCCCAAAGGCCATATTAACAGACCAAGGGCCGTGCTTCGAGAGTGAAGAATTCCGGAACTGTTTGGAGAAACTTGGCATTAAGAAATTGCGCACCACCCCATACCACCCGCAAACAAATGGCCTGACGGAACGTAACAATAGAACAATCAAGGAGTGGATAGCAGCAAAAGGTGGAGACTGGGAGGAAGCGTTGCCGCTACTGTTGCTGGCCCATCGAGCAACCAAACAGGCTTCCACAAAGAAATCACCATTCCATTTGATGTACGGTCGACAACCTCGTCTACCTGTGGACCTAGAGATTGGAATGTGGCCAACTTGCCGTATATCTCCCGAGGAGACACGGAATAACCGGAAGACCGCCAACCGCAACCTACAGGCGACTCAGGCGCGGAGGATGGCGAAGTTCCAGACCAGCAAAGGTGGAAGGAATATCGAGTTTCAGATTGGTTCGAAAGTGAAGTACAGGGACCATCAACGCTATCCCACTTGCGGCCCAGGGGAGAGGAAACTCCTAGCGAAGTGGAAAGGACCGTACGAGGTAGTCGACCGGCGAGGCCCAGTGTATACAATCGCTCGGCAAGGTGAATCGCGGAGGGTGAATGCCGGCGAGCTGAGGAAGTGGTACGAATTGGAGGAGGAAACACGCTCATACAGTGAACATCCCCGGCGGTCAGAAAGACTCCGACGGAAGGCAGCTGACGCGAGTCCTTTGGAGGGGGAGGAGTGTGGTGGATTAAAGGTAGATACTACTGCGCCGGGTATAAGTAGTGTGGTGGTGCAAGATGACACACCAACAGCGAGCCCTGCCGACTTCCCCAAAGTTGAAGATGACATCAGGATTACAGTTCCATGCGCACGAGGAGTGAACACAGAGGCAAGCACCAGTTGGGGAACACTCCATGGAGATCACGCAGATGAGCGGACGCCTCCAAGGTATGAACGAACACACCTAGTGTAAGCCACTTTAGCAATAAACAAGTTACCGCCTGCCCCTTGGGTTCTAACATTTGGTGCCGTGACCTCGCAAGTCATGAAGATTCCCTGGCCGGAACCATTTGAAGACGGGGATGTGAAGGCGTTTTTGGAGGATTTCGAGGAGGTGGCAGAGGCGGTAGGACTGAAGACGGACCGGGCGAAGATGGCGGCCCTGCGGAGTCTCCTCAAGGGCAGGGCGAAGGCGGTTCTGGAGGCGGCGCGAAGAGGTCCGGTCAAGTTGGAGTGGACCACCGCGAAGGAAGCGTTGCTCTCTGGCCTGGACACGCCAGCGGACCGCCAGGAGGCGATGCGACGGTTCAAGGCGTCGCGGCTTGGTGCTGGGACGGATCCCCTCGTGTTTGCGGTGCACCTCAGGAGCTTGTTGGACCGCGCCTTGCCGGGGTTGGATGGGCCGTCAAAGACGCAGTTGCTGGTGGATCAGTTTTTGGCCGGCCTCCCACAGCCAACCGCGGAGCGCGTTCGGATTGCGAATGCTACTCGGAAGATGCAATTGGAGGAGTTGGCGCAAGTTACTCGAGACCTGGGCGACGCACCACTAGCTGCGCTGAAGGAAGAGCCTCATGAGAATGTGGAACGGATGGACAAATTGGAACGGATGATGGAACAGCTTACGGAAGACATCAATGGGCTTCGCGTTCAGCGTTATCGGGTGCGCACAAAGGGATGTTGCTTCATCTGCGGGAAACCGGGGCACTGGAAGAGACAATGTCCGCAGAGGCGTGGTGTTACTCGTGTGTCGAATAAACGTGTGCAACCTTATTTTTCTTTTCGGATCGAGGATTGTGTACTTGGGGCGTTGAGCAGGAGTGCGGTTGAAGCAATGGTGGAAGTAGACGGAACGATGGAAAGGTGTCTGATCGATACGGGTGCCGCGGTGTCACTAATCAACCATCGGCGAGGTGAAAAGCTTCAGTCGTGCTGCACGATCGTAAGAGCGGTTGGCGGTCATTCAGTGGGAATTGATGGGATAGCCGAACACACCGTGGGAATCGGGGGACGAAAGCGAACACACTTCTTTCTCGTGTCACCAGATGCGAAACAAACCATATTGGGAGCAGATTTCCTGGAGCTCAATAAAGCTGTCATTGATCTAAAGCGTGGGAAGTTGCTAATGGAATGCGGGTCACTACCACTCATTAATCGTGGAGAAATGAGATCTTCGCAGTCGGTCGTTGCTGTGTTACATTTGAGCCCATCTTTGCAGTCGCTGATCAACAAATACCAACCCTTGTTTACGGATGACAGCAGCCAATATGGGTTTTGCGATTGGATCGAGCACACCATCCCGCTAACTCGCCAACCGTATCGGCCCCATGGACCTCGAAGGATACCAATCCATCTGGAGGCTGAGGTGAACAGGCAAGTGCAGGAAATGCTGGACGCGGGCGTGATTGAGGAGGCACATAGCCCGTACAACTCTCCTGTGGTCTTAGTGAAGAAGACGAATGGGAAGTACCGATTCTGTGTCGACTTCCGAAGACTGAATGAAATTTCCTTGACTCGCTTCGTTCCAGTTCCATCAGTTGCTGACCTTTTTGATCGGCTGCAGCAGTCGAGGATATTCACGGTCCTGGACTTGAGATCAGGATACTGGCAACTGGCAATAAAACAGGAAGATCGAGAGAAGACGGCGTTTACCGTTGGTGAGAAACAGTACCAGTTTAAGAGGATGTCCTTTGGATTATCAGGAGCCCCGTTTACCTTCCGACGTCTAATGCTGCGATTGCTGAGTGAATTGGAAAACGTGGTTGTGTACGGGGATGATATCGTGGTGTATAGCCAATCAGAAGCGGAACATATCCATCATCTCGCGGCAGTTCTGGAACGCATTCAGCAGTCGGGACTTCGTATAAATGGACCAAAATCCCAGATCGGAAAGACCTGTGTCACCTTACTGGGCCATAAAGTGGGACAAGGCGAACTGAAACCGCTACCTGAGAAGATAATGACGATACAAGGCAGCCCAGTTCCCACCTCGAAACGCACTCTCCGTACATTCCTGGGCCGCGCCGGGTACTACAGCAAATTCGTCAAGGATTTTAACACCTTGGCCTCACCCTTGTACGAGCTGTTGAAACAAGACAGGAAATTCACTTGGAATGCAGAAGCTCAACGAGCCTTTGATCAGATTCTACAGGAAATGGGAAGGCAGGAGTTGACCCTGAAATTGCCCATTGCTGGTGAGGTGTTCACGGTAGCCACTGACGCCAGCGATGTCGGGATCGGTGCGGTGTTGAAACAAAACCATGGGACGATTGAGTATGCCTGCCGAACTTTGACACCTGCGGAACGCAGATACTCAACCATAGAGAAAGAATGTCTCGCAATTGTCTGGGCGTTAGATAAATGGCGGCCATATCTCCTGGGTCAGCGATTTCACGTCGAAACAGACCACAGACCGTTGGAGTGGATTAAGTCTGCCAAAGACCCCAGAGGAAAGCTGGCGAGATGGGCATTGCGCCTACAAGAGTATGATTTCACGATAAAACACGTGCCGGGGAGGGAAAATCAGACGGCGGATTTGTTGTCACGCATGATAGATGATGACCTGCCGAGCGTAGCTTTCGGTATTAACGGTATACTGTGCGAGCAGGATCCAGAACGGTTGGCAACTGAGCAACGTAGTGACAAACTCCTGCGCAAGTTGATCACCGCGCGATTAGCTGGTCAGACAAACTTCAACAAAAACCAACTTAAGCAGCTGGGACCGTTTGCAAAAGACCTGGGAAAGCTGCAAGTGAACGAAGCAGGGATCTTAATGTGGATACCAGGAGGTAGCAACCCTTCGGTGCCAGTCATTCCAATGAAACGAAGACGGAATCTGGTAGTTTCTTGTCACGAGATGGCGCACACAGGTTGTTCCAGGACCTACGATCTGCTGAAACAACGCGCGTATTGGCCGGGGATGAAAAGGGACGTTGAGAAGTGCGTGCTTTCGTGCAGACAATGTCAGCTCATGAAAACGGATTGCCGAGGAATGCAGCAGCAAACGATGACGATCCCGGTCTCGGAAATTGGTGAACTTTGGTCGGTCGACGTGATGGGGCCGTTTCCATTGACCAGGCGTGGCAACCAGTACATTTTATTGATGACGGAGCACTTCACGCGATGGATTGAGGCGACAGGAATCCCGGATCAACGGGCTAGCACCGTTACCCATGCTGTCATGAATCACTTGGTAGCGGCTCACGGAATCCCAAAGGCCATATTAACAGATCAAGGGCCGTGCTTCGAGAGTGAAGAATTCCGGAACTGTTTGGAGAAACTTGGCATTAAGAAATTGCGCACCACCCCATACCACCCGCAAACAAATGGCCTGACGGAACGTAACAATAGAACAATCAAGGAGTGGATAGCAGCAAAAGGTGGAGACTGGGAGGAAGCGTTGCCGCTACTGTTGCTGGCCCATCGAGCAACCAAACAGGCTTCCACAAAGAAATCACCATTCCATTTGATGTACGGTCGACAACCTCGTCTACCTGTGGACCTAGAGATTGGAATGTGGCCAACTTGCCGTATATCTCCCGAGGAGACACGGAATAACCGGAAGACCGCCAACCGCAACCTACAGGCGACTCAGGCGCGGAGGATGGCGAAGTTCCAGACCAGCAAAGGTGGAAGGAATATCGAGTTTCAGATTGGTTCGAAAGTGAAGTACAGGGACCATCAACGCTATCCCACTTGCGGCCCAGGGGAGAGGAAACTCCTAGCGAAGTGGAAAGGACCGTACGAGGTAATCGACCGGCGAGGCCCAGTGTATACAATCGCTCGGCAAGGTGAATCGCGGAGGGTGAATGCCGGCGAGCTGAGGAAGTGGTACGAATTGGAGGAGGAAACACGCTCATACAGTGAACATCCCCGGCGGTCAGAAAGACTCCGACGGAAGGCAGCTGACGCGAGTCCTTTGGAGGGGGAGGAGTGTGGTGGATTAAAGGTAGATACTACTGCGCCGGGTATAAGTAGTGTGGTGGTGCAAGATGACACACCAACAGCGAGCCCTGCCGACTTCCCCAAAGTTGAAGATGACATCAGGATTACAGTTCCATGCGCACGAGGAGTGAACACAGAGGCAAGCACCAGTTGGGGAACACTCCATGGAGATCACGCAGATGAGCGGACGCCTCCAAGTATGAACGAACACACCTAGTGTAAGCCACTTTAGCAATAAACAGATTACCGCCTGCCCCTTGGGTTCTGACAAGTTGACATACCAAAGATCTTTGGTATACGTTGTAATGCTGCAGTCTTGCCAGCGGGAAGTTATTCACAATTGTGTATGGACTAACACAAACTGATTGGAGAAACAGTAACCCTCATGTACTGTAACGCTACGAACGTGCATGAGAATGGATTAAATGCAAGCATAACAGACATATTGCTAAAGCTTTGGGAAATAGCACGTACACTTATAAGCAACCATGACGACCGTCGGTGTTTCGTTAACGTTTGGACTGGAACCTAAATGCCAGCGTTAAATTTAATCCGAATAGTTAGAGACAGATAGAGGAATAGGGAATCGAATGCTATCAATGCTGTTACCAGGTGGAATCATGCACTAATATGCGGTACAATAAGTGATGACAGTGTATATTGTCGATGCCTCCCTCTATGGGTGAAGTTGAGCTTGTTAACCTGATGATGGTCGCACAGCGTGTAAAGGCGACGGGGTGTTATCAACACGACGATTAGCTTCGTAATGCATCGCAGCGTCCCATGCAAATAACGCAAAAGGGGTGCTGAAGTATACGTCGTCGAGGGTTCCGAGGGCTAACCGGGCTCGTGATAGACTGAGGGGCTGAGAGGCGTAACAGATACCTCGTAGGCCGTTGGATAGTTTCATCACAACTACCTAGTAAGAGTTGGAGCTAGATAGAGCGTTCCTCTGATTTACACATCGTGATGGGCACGAGCGTTGTCACAACGGCAGATGGAGGACCGAGCCTGAAGTGACTGGAAAGATGTTAAAATGCAAGTTCGAATTCATTTGGGATTGAAAGGATAGGGGAACCAAGTAAGTGTCTCTTCTTGCGCAGGAACTCTTGAAGTGCTCCAATGTCTTGATGAACCTAAAACGAAACACCCGAATCAAATGCTTGTCAGCCAAGTACTGCCTTCATTCCCTTCACTAACGGTCCCTGCTGTGCCGGTCACACAAGTAAGCAAAATACTGGAAAAGGGAAGGTAAAGAAAGACGATCACGTGCTGCCACTCAAGAGCATCCGAGTGGCGCTCGAAATCGTTAACTGGACGTCCCTTGAGCACATTTTCTGGAAGCGACTCCCAGCGCCAAATAAACCTAAACTACAACCGAGTTTCCACTTTAATCCGCTCAAAACACGGCTTTTGTAGCTTTATGGTATGACTCTGAAGGCCAGTTAATTTGGCAGGGTTAGATAGCCAGCTCAAGTCCCGTCCAACGTTCACAATCAATGTAGGGTAGTATTAGTCTCAACAGTCTAATAAATAGACATAGAACCAGTAAGAACAATGAAGATGAGTGGATGGGGGCAGAATCGACGCGTCATAATCATTGTGACACAGTAGTTAAAGGTGAACAACAGACTTTAGCTACTGTGTCAGAGGAAGACATGAAAATATTTCCATTTCTCACACGCCGCATCTTTCAATCTTTTTAGGTATTAGACAGTCAGTTTCTGCATCTAGTATAGTATGCATTATATATATATATATATATATGGGTGTGTGTGTACCACTGTGAGTCGATTGATCGCTGAATCCGACAGTCTGCGCGTTACCACCCCCATCTGCCTCCCCGCCTGACCTTGGTGCGGTTGAACAACTCTCAATCCGTGTGCGTTTTCTGACCTATTCGTGCGTCACCCCTAGCGCAAGTTCACTCATCAAGACATTGC